TGTGTGTGTGAATGTAATTTTTTATAAGAAGAAAAAAAAACAGAAGGACCAATAAATAAGAGATAAAAAAGTATATTATTATAATCAGGAATAAAATTGTTTAAAAATAATTAACATTATATTTATATTATATTTGGATCAAAAAACGAGAAATGAAAAGAAAAGAAAAATTATGATTAGCCGGGGGGGGGAAAAGGTAATGTGCATAGTTTCAAGGTCGGCACGTTCTCGTCATCAACGTCATACTAATCGTCACACTACTCGTTACACTGATTAACTTTTACTGAATTTTTTCATTCAACAAAATTATTCTGGGATAAACAGAGAGAAAGATTGAAAGAGTATGTGTGCGTGTGAGAAAGAGAGAGAGAGAGAGAGAGAGAGAGAGAGAGAGAGAAAGAGAGAGAGAGAAAGTGAGAATGGATAGGTGTGTGTATATACGTGTATGTAAGAGAGAGAGAGAGAGAGATATAACGATGTGAGCGCTTGACTTTTGACACAAAGTCAAATGAGAAAGATTCTCCTTTAAATTCGCATTATTGCAATGCAATTCGGGGAATAGTTTAATTAAAATGTATGCATGTGTTAACATATTTTAACGTGAGACCTAATTGTTTGATTTATTATTAGTCTTTTATTTTAAATGGTTTTTATTAAAAGAAATAATGTACTTCTGTCAGAACTTAGGTTTATACTCACCTTACGTTGTTGTTCGTTGGCAGCCATTTCTGATTTCACTTGACAATTCACTTTAGCGGCGCATAATAAAGATAAAGCTTCGGCACTGGCGCCTCTGTCTTCTTTTCTCTTATACACTATATATATCTATATATATCTATCTATATACTGCATATATATGTTATATTTAACTATGTATATTAAAGTGTATATAGATATATATCTATGATGTATGATGTTGCTCGGTCTCTTTCTTTCTTTCTTTCTTTCTTCGATCGACTTTATCGTTCTATCTCTTTTTTTTCTCTTTTTTTTTTCTTTCTTTCTAACACTTGAAAATATATCTGTCCATCTTTCTCATTTTTTCTTTTTACAGGCACGGCCCTAATTCTTCCTCCTCGTCATATTCCTAAGTATGTTTTTGTTTCGATATTATTTGACTACTCCTCATTGGTCCCATCAACGTGCGCACTTTTTCCGCGTGGGAAGAGTATTTATTTTTAATGAAAATAAGATTAAAATATTCGACAAAAAGTAGGATTCTATTCGATGAATTAATCTACGAAGATTTTTGGTAAATGTTATTTCGAAAATGTCCAATTTTTCCTTCTATTTCAATGATACGCGTTGTATGCACTACCGAGACTCTACTGAAGTTGTTTACTGTATGGGAAACGTCAGAAAGACTGCAAACGTCACTGCCACAGACCAGTCACGTGTTCCTTTCAGAACTTCAAGGGTTTCCGTAGGGAAGAATTATGTTACTTAGATCGGTATTTATTTACTTTTGTTCGACAATCTTTGACGTTTGATTTATATTTAATAGAATACATTGATTATTTGAATTTATTTCATAAATTAACTTATCATTTGATCATTATTCGATTTCTCTCTTGTTCACGATTTAATCGTATTTTCTCTTTCTATCAACAAGCTATGTATGTATATATTTATATGCAATCGAATGCAATGATTTTGGTCGATAAGGATGTCATGTAGATCAAATGAATGTAGAAATTTGTAACTGTGGCGTCTTCTTTACAATATTCCATGAATTCAAACTAATTGCAAAATGTACGCGGTCGGTAAATTCATCGATTTCTGAGCAGCAAAGTTAACTACATTATCCGTGTGTGAATTTACGTTTGATTTATAATTAATTAAAGGAATTGCAAATTTTGCTTGGTCGATAAATTACTAAGTCACATTATCGACGTCAATTTATATCTTTTCAATAACTAATAAGGGAAACCGCAGAAAAAGTTGTCATAGAACCTCAACAATTAAAAAAAATGAATATGTACTAGTAGGTAATAGTAGTGATCTACCTTTATCTTATCGACAGTCGGTCTTGGTAGTTTTCTACTTTTAAAAATATCGACAGTCGGTAATACGACTTACCGACTGAGATGATCGGATGGTAACTTACCACGAAAGTTTGCAACATAGGAACGCTGGCGTAGAACTTTAACAGCAGAAAAAAATGAATAAGTTCTCTTAATTAATTTCTTGCTCCATCAAAATCCATAATTATTCATTTTTTTTATGCTGTTCAGGTTCTATGCTAACTTTTCTGCAGTGTTTTATTATCATTAATGAGAATTGCAAGTATGCTCTATCAATACATCGAATTGATGTAGCAAACAACATTATCGACCTGAATTAATGCTTGTTTTATAATTCATTAAAGGTGACTCGTAATCAGTTACATTTTCATGGTTTAATCAATGTGATTTCAAGATATATCAATTAAAATTTGAAATAGTTATTAATATTAATTAAACGTATATTTAATTTTACGTATATTGTTTGGAAATAGATATTTATGAAAGTATGTACCATTATTTTTTCAGTTTCTACAAAGAAACATGTAAATTTATAGTAATACCAATTTTTGTGGTGTTCCATGAAAATTCAAGAATACTGATCTACATTCCTTTAATGCTGCTTTCTTTGATAATCTAACTTATTTCTGTCTTATCGTGATACTTTAATTTAGTTAGAATTGATCACATTTGCTATCATGCGCAGGTTTCATTATTAGATTTTGGCATTTCCCTAAGAAGATACAAATATTTTATATATATATAATCGAAGAGACGAATAATCTTCTTTTAAATATTGTTCTTTACACAAATAGTATAAACGGTTATAAACTAATATTAGTAATAATAGTATTAATAATTTTTAGTTATATTGAATAAATTTTGTAATTTTAAGTTCAATATATATTAACTTACATAAACGAAATTAATTATTCTTACGCGTTTAAAAATGTTAATACAGGACAAGAATAAGTTAAAAGCATCCTCATAAATAGCACCTTGTTTGTATCTTCAAACGGAAGTTACGTGAAAAGCAATCTATATATAGATATTAAAGAGTAAAAGTAAAACTGTAATACACTTAATGTTCTCCGATACACGCATCAGATCGATGAAAAAGCCTGATTTAGGTATTACAGAATGCAATTACGTTTCATCATCACTACCATCATCACTGTCGCCATTGTACTCATGTTTTCGTTCGAAAAAATAGCAGCAATTTTTTTTTGGTCCATTTTCCTGCCCTTTTTTTCGATATCTTTTTTTTCCTCGATCCCCTTTGATGTAATATCTCTCTCTCTCTCTCTCTCTCTTTTTTTCTTCCATTTTTTTGTTTGTTCGATAGGATTGATAAGGAGTAAAAGAAAAACAAAAAAAAATAGGGTAAAGGGTAAAGAGTAAAAAGGGAGAAGGAGGGGGGGGGAAAAAAGTGAGCTTAACTTTCAACAGAAACAACGGGGCTGGTTTTTGACGCGGATACTTGGAAAGAATATTCGTGTTAATTTTGGTTGAAGGATTGCGAATGGCTTTAAATTACGCTCTGCTGAATTTGACTGACGGTGATTCCCTTTATGGGTGATGAATATGAAAAGATGGTTTGAATAGATTTCATGAATAAGAGGTTTTTTTAGAAACTTCATTTCCCTACATTTCTCTACATATTATTATCTTTTTTTCTTTTACATTAGAAAAGTAAGAAAAAAAGAAAAAAATAAGTTAAAAGATTCGAATTATTTTCAAGCAATTTGTCGTTATTTGTTAACGCAGAGTTAAAAACATAAAAAAAAAAAGAAGAAAGTGTTTAAACTATACGTCATCGCAGTATTTTAATTTTCCAAAAATTCTCAAATAAGAAGTACAAAATAATATAAAGTAATTCGAACGATTTGTTTGTGTTTATATTGTTCTATTTACGATGAATATTTATAAGAAAAAAAAAAAAAGTATGTGAAAAAAAGGAGGTCACGTTATCGAAATATGTTAATTTTTATGAAGAGTGCAAAGACGTACAAAGAAAGAGGAATAAATTTACAAGTAATTCGGTTTTCGAATACGATCATTCATTTTCTTACGTGGTGGATATTAAAAATGAGTGGATAATTAAAAATGACAAACGAGACAATAAGTTGAAGTTAATAATCGTAAAAATGTTATGATTTTAGACGGTGTTTAATAAAATTTTACGTATGACGCGAAACGTACGATTAATTTGCGGTAGTAACATGAATTATATTAATTGTTTGTAGAATTGTATGTAATGAATGCGTTTTTGTTCGTATACGTTCAAAATGGCTGGTAAAATATGGCGGGGGTGGTTACTGATTATACGATATATAACACACATATTATTTATGAAATAAATCATAGCAAATAAGTATACATAAATACATAAATCTATCAATATATATAACATATAATTTCTATATTATTAATTTCATTGATATATATATATATATATTTTATATAATATAATATCATAGTAAATAATTTAGTAAATTTCATTTATTATGTCAGTTAGAGACTTTTGAAATGTATAAATCCACATTTTACGTTTGATTTCTTCTTATTTTTTGGTAACCACGAATGAGCACACTTTCGTCATTTAATAAATCATATTTTCATTTGTACGTCCGTTTATTCGTTTTTTTTTTCCTGACATAACTATTACACATTCAAACGAAGCAGAATTCAATTCGTCCCTTTTCCATTTTCTCTGATTGCTCTTTTGATTTTCTCTTATGCTCTCTTTAGATCTTCTCGCCCTTCATACCCGCCCTTCCTGAATTATTTTATCTTTATTACTCGACATGAAATACATTTCATATCCCACGCATGGAACAGTTTTGAATTTCGTTGAATGTAGCTGTCTAACGAGACGACTAGTTAATGAATTTCTCTCTTTTTTATTTTTTTTTTTATTTTCATCTCCAATACTATAACTTTTTATTTTTAATAATTATTATGCGAAATTAGAACAACAAAATAACCTTTTATTAATATTTTTATTGTTCACAAAACTGCTATATTTAATAAATTTATAGTTTAGTTCATTCGGGATAACTCGGTTACGATCGGTTATTATCGGTCTTGATTAATTTACTCAATCCTAAATTTGATTATTTTAATTAGAAAAAAAGAAAAATGTATTATTATAACACACGCGATCTTATATATTATTTTATTATTTATTCTCGATGTATTTTATTTTTTATCTAATTTAATCAATTCGATTTTAATATATTATTTAAAACGAAAAACGATGAAAGAAGAAAGACGAATTTTTTGATTACTTATCTATATATATAGTTATATTATATTATAAAAAATATTTAAAAGAAAAAAAGGAAAATACACAAAAATAATATGCTAAATATAAAAGAGTATTAAATGAAAAATGCTGGCAAACGTAAAATAAATACAAAGTCAAATGATGTTATTAAAAGCTTAAAAGACGATTGTCGCGTATCACGAATACTACGAGACTTTTCATAAGCTTTCGAAAATATCTGACTAAGTCGATAAAAATAAAAAAAACTCAAGATCGTATTCCGCATTGCTTTGGTAAATATAAATAGCAATAGCTCTACGAGTCCTCCGATTCTTAAATATTATTTTTTCTTCCTCTCCTCCCCCCGCCCCACCTCCCTCTCTCTCTCTTTTCTTTTTTCTTTATTTCTTTCAGCATAGTACTTAAGAAATGGATGTCAACGAGATAGATATATAGCAAATAAATCTTTGCTAAGAAAGTTCAAGAGAGAGAGAGAGAGAGAGAGAGAGATACAATCAAATTTGATCGATCATTTATCAAAGTATGCTTTTATTTTTTCACAAACATTCCGTGTGTTTCTTTTTG